CATGTGAGGTCTATACCGACACAAGATTCTCTAACATCTGTTCGAATAGAAAGATCTCAATTTGCGGCAACGAATGTGGTTAGAGTTTCTGAAGACTATGATATCACTATTATATGTCATCCCGGGAAGTCCAATATGGTGGCCGATGTCTTGAGTAGCAAGGCGGAGAGTTTGGACGGTTTCGCATATCTACTGGCAGTAGAGAGGCCATTAGCCATGGATGTTGGACCTTAGCGAATCAATGTGTGAGACTTGGGTTTTCGATGCCCAGTCAGTCTCGGTCTTTTCATATGAGCGCATCCGAGAGCGTCAGTATGAAGACCCCCATATCCTTGTCCTTAAAGACACGGTACAGAATGATGATGCCAAGAAGGTTTCTATTTGAAATGACGGAGTGTTGGGGATGCAGGGCCGGATATATGTTCCCAATATTGATGGGTTGTGTGAGTTGATTCTTGAGGAGGCCCACATTTTGCGATATTCCATTCATCCGGGTTTTGCTAAGATGTATCAAGATTTGAGGCAGCACTTTTGGTGGAGGATAATGAAGAAAAATATAGTGGAGTATGTGGCTTGATGCCGAAACAGTCCGCAGGTAAAGTACGAGCATCAGAAGCCGGGCAATTTTCTTTAGGTACTTGAGATTCTTGAGTGGAAGTGGGAGCGTTTTACCATGGATTTCATTGTTGGGCTCCTATGGACCCTGAAGAAATTTGACATAGTATGGGTGATTTTGGACAGGTTGACCAAGTCAGCTCATTTCATTCTTGTGGTGACTGCCTATTCTTCCTAGCAGTTGGCCCAGATCTATATATGTGAGATTGTTTGTCTCCAAGGTTTGACGATGTCCATCATCTTCGATCGAGGCACGTAGTTCACATCACGTTTCTGGAGAGCTGTGTAGCGTAAGTTAGGCACACGGGTTGAGCTGAGTACAATATTCCACCCCTAGATGGATGGGCAGTTTGAGTGCACCATTCAGATCTTAGAGGATATGCTACGTGCCTTTGTTATGGATTTTGGGGGTTCTTGGGATCAGTTCTTGCCGCTTGCAGAGTTCGCCTACAACAATAGCTACCAAACGAGTATTTAGATGGCTCATTACGAGGCCTTATATAGGAGGCGTTGCCGTTCTCCAATTGGTTGGTTTAAGCAGGGAGAGGCTAGGTTGTTGGGCACGGATTTGATTCGAGATGCCTTGGAGAAAGTCAAATTGATCCAGTATCGGCTTCGTACAACACATTCTAAACAGAAGAGGTATGCTGATCTAAGGGCCTATGATGTATAATTTATGATGAGAGAGAGAGAGTTTTGCTCCGAATATCACCCGTGAAGGGTGTGATGAGGTTCGGGAAGAAGGGAAAGTTGAGCCCTAGGTATATCGGCCCTTTTGAGATCCTTGAGAGAGTTGGTGAGATGGCCTACAAGCTTGCATTGCTACCCAACCTATCTGCGGTCCATCTGATGTTCCATGTTTCTATGCTCCAAAAGTCTTATATTGATCCGTCCCATGTATTAGATTTCAACTCAGTCTAATTGGACAAGGATTTGACATATGTTGAGGAGCCTGTGGCCATCTTGGACAGGAAGATCCGAAAGTAAAGTTCAAAGAGCATTGCTTCAGTGAAGGTTCAATAGAGGGGTCATGCGGTCAATGAGGCGACCTGGGAGACCAATCACAACATGCGGATTTGTTATCCTCATCTCTTTGTCACTTCAGGTATGTCTCTATGCACGTTTGAGGACAAACGACTATTTTAAGAGGGGGATAATGTAACGACCCGACTGGTCATTTTGTGTAGTTGCGACTCGTTTCCCCTTTTGATGCTTCACACATGTGTAATTTTGGTTTATAATCTATGAGGTTGATTGGATTTTGTTCCGAGAAGGTTTTGGGTTGATTTAGACTCTTTCATTCTTGGCTTAGAAGCCTAACTTCGTTATGTTGTTCAAACTTTGATTTTTGTAGAAACGACCCTAGAATGGTATTTTGATGGCTCCGATAGTTTCGCATTATGATTTTGGACTTGGGCATATGCCCGGAATTGAATTTGGAGGTCCGTAGGTTGATCTGTGTTGTTTCGCCGAAAATTAGAAATTTGAAGTTTAGAAGTTTTACGGTAGGTTTTCTTTTGTCTATTGGGTTCATAATTTGATTTGGGACTTGGAATAGGTCCGTTATGCTATTTAGAACTTGTTTGTAAAATTTGGTGTCATTTGGAGTTGATTTGATACGATTCGGGTGCTTGGTTGCAATTCCAGAAGTTCTTAAACTTTTCTTTGAAATTCATACATTTTGATGTCCAATTCGAAGTTCTAGATGTTATTTTTTGTTTTGATTATGCGAGCGAGTTCGTATGATGTTTTTAGACTTGTGTGGATTTTTGATTAGAGTCCCGAGAGCTCGGATGAGTTTCTGACGTGTCGCGGAATGGTTCTGGACTGAATCTGAACTGCTGGTATGCTGATGCCTCTGGTGTCGTAATTGCGAACACCAGCATCGCAATTGCAAACATCAGTATCGCAATTGCGACCTTATCAGGGGGATCACAGGTATTGCAATTTTGATGCCTGGATCACAATTGCGAAGTTGGCTTGGGCTAGGGTAGTTTCGCATTTGCGATATTTTTGTCGCTTTTGTGAGGGAAGCAAGTTTCGCAATTGCGAAGCCCATGTCGCAATTGCGACTTCCCACATAGACTGTCAATACCGCATTTGCGAGGCATTCTTCGCAATTGTGAGAGTTCCCAATTGCGAACCCAGTGTCGTAATTGCAATATCTGCAACTGAACAAAAGGTTAGAAAGTCGGGATTTTAGTCTTATTTTCATATTTTAGAACCCTAGACTCGGTAGGAGGCAATTTGGAGAGTGGATTTTCATTTACAAACATTGGGTAAGTGATTATAATTAGTTTCCAACTATATTTCATAATTATATCTTAGATTTAACATTAAATTCATGAGAATCAAAAAGCAAAATTGGGGTTTTTTGCCAAAAGTCATGAAAAATGAAGATTTGAGTTTTGACAGTCGATTTGGACTTGAATTTAAAAACAAAACACGACCCGGGTTTTGATCGGGCGATCCTGGGGTTGACTTTTGTTGACTTTTTGGAAAAAGTGTAGCGATCATAGATTTATGTATTGTAATTGGTTTCTCTAGCATTGCTTGATGTTATTAAGTTAGTTTTTGTTATATTTGAGCCGTGTGGACGCAATGTTTAGGAGAAAAGCTATATTCGATGGTTGATTTGGCCTAGTTGAGGTAAGTAGCTTGTCTAACTTTGTGTGGGGAACTACCCCTTAGGATTTGGATTGAATGTGCTATTTGTTTTATGTGGAAGACGTGTATGCGAGTTGACAAGTGCGTACACGGTCTAGATGTGGTATTTGACTGGTTTACTTTATTTAGACTCTTTCCAAGCCTTTAATTGAATTGTCATAACATGTTATATCTGTGATTGTTAATCTACTCTTACATGAGTAATCTACTCTTACATGCTTTATTTGACTTGTTAGCACTTGTTCCATCTCTTACTTGTTATCTCATATGCTATAGATGAAGTTGCTACCTCCCTTATTGTCTTGCTATCTCCTTATTGTTGCATTACTCTTACTTGAAGTTGTTATTCCGCGGGAATTATCTTCTTGATTGCATTATTGATGCTGAAGTTGTGAAAGCTATTATCACATTGAGGTTGAAGTTGTTGAATTTGAGATATCTTTCCTTATTGAGCATTTATCATTCATTTTGTTATTATTGAGATTCTTATACACATTGTGTTTTAGCAATGGGCTATTTTGTTATGGAAACATTGGTATTGTTGATTTTGGCAAGTTGTGGCATATGGGTACTTGTGGTGCGAGTTGTTATTGTGTTGTGATATTGATATGCGTGCGGTGGTATAAGGATAAGGATTGATACGCATGCGGTGAAATAAGGTGGGCTTGATACGAGTGTTGCTAGTAAGGGAATTACTTGAAGCCACATGGTGAGATAAGGTGGGCTAAAACATGTGTGGCTATTTCAGGAAAAATAATTTTCAAAGTAAATGTAAGGTCACACGGTGATATAAGGAAATATTCTGATTGAAATATTGAAATGTGAATACAAGGTGGTACCTCAGTTGTTATTCTTGTGGTAAGTTCGATGTTGAAAAGTTGATTGATTGCATAGTTCTCGTTGTTTCTCTTCCTCGTCTTACCCGTTTGTCCGTATTTGATTACTTGTGGTTCTCTTTATGTGTTCTCTTCTTGTTGCCTCCTTGTTCTAATTTCTGTCATCAACTTACATTATTACACTGCTTAGTTATCATTGATTTCCTCATTTACCGTTAATCTTGTTTAGTTTATTTTATCCTAGTAGGTGTCTTGACCTGGTCTCATCACTACTCTACCGAGGTTAGTCTTGATACATACTGGGTATCGTTGTGGTGTACTCGTACTACGCTTTTGCATATTTTTGTGCAGATCCAAGTACATCTGCCCGTGCTGGACGCTAGTGATTGATTAGCTACTTTTGGAGACTTCAAGGTATACATGCTCGACGTTCGTAAGCCTCGAAGTCACATTCTGCTTTTAGATATTCTACTATTTATTTCTTGTTACAAAACAGTATTGTATTTCGAGACTATTAGTGCATTCTTGTAGAGCTTATGACTCTGTTCCACCAGGTTTTCAGAAGTTGTTGACAGTTGTACTGTTGAGTTTTATTATGATAGCTTAATGGTTAAATTGAGGTTTTATTATTATTTATGCTATTTCTTAATGTATGTTAGGGTTACCTATTCTTAGAGACTAGGTGCCATCATGACATTCTAAGGAGAAAGATTGGGGTCATGATATAACCCCATATCACCCACAAGCAAGTGGTCAAGTGAAAGTTTCAACCGCAAGATAAAGAGTTTTTCCAAGACGGTGAATACCAATCAGTCGGATTGGTCTAAGAAGCTTGATGATGCTCTATGGGCATATAGAACGGCTTACAAAACACCTATCGAAATGTCCCCATATCAGTTGGTGTTTGGAAAAGCCTGTAATCTTTCGGTGGAATTAGAGCACAAGACAATGTGGGCCTTGAAGAAACTAAATCTTGATTGGGATGTAGCCGCTAACTTGCGGGTTGCAAATTTGAATGAATTGAATGAATTTCGATACCATGATTACGAGAGTTCCTCCTTATACAAAGAAAAGATGAAGTACCTTCATGACAAGTATATTTGGAATAAGGAGTTCAAGGCCGGTGATCTATTGTTGTTGTTCAACTCAAGGTTGAGAATGTTTTCCGAGAAGCCTAAATCAAAGTGGAGTGGTCCATTTGAAATTGTTGGTATGACACCCTTTGGTGCTTTTGACTTGAAGAACAAGAACAATAAAATATTTTGGGTCAATGGTTACCGAGTGAAGCATTATTTGGGGAAAGTTGGTGAAATTCACGTGGTGACAGTTCTTTACTTCAATTGAGGATGCTCTGATATTGCATCGTACCACGACATTAAATATGGCGCTTCTTGGGAGGCAACCCAAGTTCTTTTCCTTTTCCCCTTTTAGTTTAGATATTGTTTTATTGTTTTAAACCAGATTTGAAGTGTGCTGCAATGATCAATATTAGGTATTAAGAGATGGATAAAGATGTGGCATTGCATGGAAAACTGCGGAACCACACTTTTATTTGTGCGTCCGTAGAAGAGGAAATGCGGGCAGCAAAAATTTGATTCCGGTCATAGGTTTTTACTTCGGGATGGTAGATTCTACGACATCCCAAATTCTAAAATGAGGATCCTTTGAACTTTTCTTGCAACAATGCGGAGCCAATTTTGCGGCCACATAAGAGTACTTTCAGAGGGGTCACTGAAAACATGTTGACAAAAGTTCGGCCACAATTGAAAGAGTGCGGACCGCACAAATATATGCTATCCATCATCCAGGTAACAGAGTGTGGATCACGGTTGGAATTTTGCGGCCGCACTCGACCTCTCTCTGAATCGACCCATGCAATAGTATAAATAGAATAGTAGGTCATCATTTTATCCTTTTCGGCATTTTCACTCACTAACAGAGATCTTACTGAAGATCCATTTGCACGCACATTCGACTACACATAGCCACTCCCGATCATTCTACTTGCACTAGCATAATCTGTTATGCATCACTTCGATCTTATTTATTGTTCTTTTGATTTTTTTTGATTTTTAAATTCTTGTTAGGCCATCAATGTTACATCCCTTATCTGTGTCCATGTGGGGTAGATTAAGAATGGGTATTTGCTATCATGCCTTTAACATGTTACCTAGTTGGATTGAACAAAATTGCATAACCTATGTATTAACTGAACTGTGTCTTTACTACTCTTAATTGTGCGTACCACATTTGAAATTCTGCGGTCTGCAATTACTAGTTTGGTAGCCTGGCTAATAGCCCAAATTCTACAATGTGCAGAGCGAAGTTAGAATTTCGCGGCCGTAAAGGGAGGTCCGCATTGTCCTTCAGAAAACTTCTTCTCTAGGACCTGAGAACTTTTACTCAAGTGCGAACCACACTTATAATTGTATGGACCGTAGTTGGATTTGTACGATCGCAAAAGCGTATTTGCACTATCCTTCAGAAACTTTTCTCTAAAGGTCTGATACCTCAGTGTAGAAGTGCGGCCGCACTTGGATTTTTGCGGATTTCACTTTCATTTTGCGGATCGCACTTGGAATTGTGCGGACCGTACTTCCACCCTGCCCTCTGCATGTTTAACAAAGAACTCTCCCCTACTTTTATGCTTTCTCCTAATGCTATTGTGGCTCATAACTATCTTGTACCTCATTCCAATGACTTGTTTAATAACCGACAACTCTTTTTATATGTCAACAGCATCAATGAATCTCCTCACTCTCTCCCTCTCAGTAGAAAGCAAGACAATTCATGTCAAGCTAAATCCACGAATCTGGTCTCATAATGGGTAACAGTCATGCTACCCTGCTAAAGGTGCTCAAACTGCCTGCGGTACTCTTCTCTCAGAGTGAAAGGATTGAACTTCTCCGAGAATAGCTGTGAAAACTGATCCCAAGTGAGTGGCGATGAACTTGCTGGTTTGCTCCGCTCATTATCTTGCCACCACCTATTGGCAAAACCGGTAATCTAAAACACTACAAAGTCGATTCCATTGGACTCTACAATACCCATGTTGCGCAACACCTCATAGCAACGGTCCAAATAATCATGTGGGTCCTCCGAAGGTGTATCGCCTAAGTGAATAGGAAATAACTTTATGAACTTGTCCAATCTCATCATCCGCTCAGAAGACATTACGGGCCTCTCCCCGGTCTGTATAGCAACCATAGGCTAAGCCAGTCCAACTGGCGGAACTACAGGAGTCTGAATACGGGGGACATCTGCTTTGGTATGTCAGTAGCGTGAGTGTAGGCTCCTCCCCAAGCCTGAGAGATAGTACGTGCCACTGAAAATGCACCGGTTTGGGTCGCGCTCTCCTTAAGACCCACTAAGCAAACTAGAGCGTCCTGAAGTACCGGGGTAGCAATAAACCCCTCTGAGACCTGATCTACTCCAACTGGCATGGTCTAAATAGGAACTTCCTCCTCCTGCTCGATTTGAGGCTCCGGAATAGGTGCTACTACACATGCTATAGCTGAGCTCTGCCTCTACCTCTGGCTCAACCTCGGCCCCGGCCTCTACCCCTAGTAGTGGTAGCAACCTGGGGCTCAGACTCCTGAACCGCCGGGGATGTTGTGCGTCCCCACACCATCTGCAAGAGAATAAGAATGGAATAATTCAAACTACAGTGGTAGAATAGAATCGCACAATGGAGAAATAAAGAAGTGAAATTTTCCTAAAGCTCCATAGCCTCTAGAAGATAAGTACAGACGTCTCCATACCGATCCTCCAGACTCAACCAAGCTTGCTCATGACTCGTGAGGCTTAAGAAACCTAGTGCTCTGATACCGACTTGTTGCCAACCTCGGGGTCGTGATGGCGCCTAACGTCTACTTGCTAGGAAAGCCAACATTAGATAACCAATTTAATATCTTAATAGTTTACAATAGAGTAATAACAATTATTAACGATAGATAATGTTGTAATACATGAAATAAACCCATAATATAAAACGGTCTATTCTAATCCAAGAAATATGGTGTCACCAGTACACGTGCAACTAGAAGTCTACAAGTATAGCTTAAACGAAATGTAAATGCTTGAATTGAGATAAACAGTAAAGATAAAAATAGAGAGACTTCAGGGACTGCAAACACCAGCAACTCTACCTCAAGTCTCCGCTGTAGATATGATCCGAGCAGAATCACCACGAGAAAGCGTTGGGACAAATGCCAAAATTTACACAAGAACTACAGAAGTGTAGCATGAGTACAACCAACCGAATGTACTCCATAAGTGTCGAGCCTAACCCCGACGAGGTAGTGACGAGGCTGCGACAAGACACCTACTTAAATTCTATATAGAGTTTTACATAAAGCAACAAAATAAAATATGGGACAGTTAAAATATTAACTGGGAGGGGACACATAGAAAGGGGAGCACGATAAGAACGGCAAGTACAAAATCACCAAATAGCCTTTTTTCCAAAAACATCAACAATGCAACCAATTAAACCATCAATCCGGAAATCAAGTAAAACAATGAAATCAACAATGGCATGGCATCACCCTTCGTGCTTTTTCTCTCGTCCTCACATGATATGATAAATGATAATAAACAATCAAATGCACAGCATCACCCTTCATGCTTTAATCCTCACCATCTCTCAAATAAATGATATTGTATGCAATAAGGCACGATAACACCCTTCGTGCTTTTCACTCTTCCTTACCAAGTAACAACGCTAACCCAAGATAGCAAAACAAGGTGGGAAGCAATTTCACTTCAATCATTGTGTAATGATAATTCAACTCAACTTTCAAAATCCCAACAACTTCAAAATAAACAATAGTTATGAAGGCGAACAATTAAAGAAGTAATAATCTAACTACGACATAGAAAGCATAGTCATTGAAACAACACGGTACAATAAAACAATTTTCACCCGCATTTTTAAACTAATGAAAATGCATATATACTCGTCACTTTGCATATACGTGGTCCCCAGATATAATTCACGTAGAAAATAGACCAACAAGTCTTAATTCCCTCAGGTCAAGGTTAACCATGACACTTACCTCACTCCGCAACCAAGTTAATCAACCAACCACGGTCTTGCCTTTTGAACAAGCCTCCAAACCAACCAAATCTAACCAATTGTCGATCAAACAATTCAAACTAAGATTTAGAGACTATTCACAAAGGAAAAAGGTTCAATCTTTGATGAATTTGAAAAAAGTCAACAAAAGTCAACCCCGGGCTCGCTTGGTCAAAATCTGAGATCAGACTAAAATCCGATTACCTATTCACCCCCGAGCCCAGTTATATAATTTATTTTGAAATCCAACCTCAATTTGAGGACTAAATCTCAATTTTACAAAATCCCTAATTCTACAAAAATTCCTAATTTCTACCATGGAAATCCTGGATTTGATGTTGAAAACACATGTAACGTATTGGATAATTGAAAGGAAATGGATTAAAGTTGCTTACCAATGAGTTTTGGAAGAAACATCTCTTGAAAAATTGCCTCTAGTGTGTCTAGGGTTGAGAAATGGTGTAAAATGAGCTATGTCCTGATTCCCCCCTTTTACCCAGCTCCGGAGGTCGCAAATGCGAAAGAAAGGTCGTAATTGCAGACAGTGCGTCAGAATCCTATAAGTTGCAAATGCAACCCATCTATCGCAAATGCGAACATCTCTCCCCCCCCCCCCCCAAATGCGGATAATTACTTCGCATATACGAAGCTCACCCCTCAGAACACTGTGTCGCAAATGCAAAGTCTTTCCTCGCAATTGCGAGATCACCCAATCCAGGACCCTGTTCGCTAATGCAATGTCTTGATCGCAAAAAACGAGGCTCGCACATGCGAGATTTGTAGATAACCACCAGAAACGAAATTGCACCAGCTAGTTCAAGTCATCCAAAACTCATCCGATACACAACCGAAGTGCACAAGCTAGTTCATGTACAAAAGTCTAAAAACATCATACAACCTTGATCGCGCAATCAGAACCCCAAAATAACATCTAAAACCATGAATAGGACCTCAAAACGCATGAAATTCAAAGGAAAACTCAAGAACCTCTAGAATCACAACCAAGCGTTTGAATCTTATCAAACCAACTCTAAATTGCACCAAATTTTGTAGACAAGTTTTAAATGACAAAACGAACCTATTCCAAGTCCCAAAACAAAATTCCGAATCCGATAACATTAAAGTCAACCTACGGTCTAACCTAGGAAACTTCCAAATATTTAAATTGATAAATTTCTACAAAACAAGTCAAATCAATATAGGGACCTCCAACCTGGATTTCGGGCATACGCCCAAGTATAAAATCACGATGCGGACGTGCCGGAAT